TTCGAGCAATTCATTTTTGTAATATTTTTTCTAGGTGACGCAAGAAAATATTGATAATCCGACATGATTAACTCTTATTGGCATGGATAAATAAATATAAATTAAATTATGATTTAAATTTTAATTTAGATTGAATTTTGTCTCTGATTCAAATCTCGGATACGAGCCCCCAATTTATTATGTTACATATTGAGAATTTAAGATAGTCCAAAGCCGATATTTTAGTTAATTTACGCTATTTGCCAACAAGATTGACACACACCATTTTCGTTTTTTCACACAAATACGTTTTAATGTATATATATATATACAACAGTACAATTTATAACAACAATTATTACGAATAATTATCACAAACAAAGTTTTATAAACAACAATTTCACTAATTTACAAACAACATAGAATCTTCTTTCTAGTTCAGAGTCTCCTTGATATCCAGTGAGTTAACTTGAAGTCGATGTACGTACAATTGCTGAGAAGCTAGCTAGCTTTGTCAGACACTGAATTGTTGGACCGTCGAAGTAAGATAATATTTTCATAAAACCACTAATGTCCGATGAGAATCCACTGTCGTTCGAAATTTATAATTGTTCCTGGTCAAATGTCGCAAATTTAGAAAAATCACGGTTTATAGCATACACAGTTATAACAGGTTCTTAGCAGATTTATAAGCTCTCTTTTGTTTTTGGCGCTTCGCCTTGGCTGTTTTTATAGGCGCTATATTTAACCAGTTACAGAACTGGATATATTGTTGATTCTTGCATTCACGAATATTCTACAATCTTGGAGAATTGGCGGGAGTTTCGCCATACGTAACTAACACTGTAAGCTATGCACGTTTTTAAACGTAAACTCAATCCCAACAAACGTTGTCATCAAAATAAAAATATAACAAATTCGTTATATGCAATACATATCTGACCCTATAAGTTACGCATATTTTAAAATACAAATTTAATTTAAACAACATTCATATTAAAAATAAATATATAACAATAAATTCGTTACAGGATAAATCAATATTAAAGAAACCTGATAACCTTTTTTTTAAGTTGATCTTCCTTCATCATTTGGAAAATGGGAGAAGATCAATCTCTTCAAAATACACAAGTTGTTTTAGTTTCTTTATTCGTTTTTAGTAAAATGTCAAAACATTAGTTTATTCTACAAAGGGATAAACAGTTATACCATGAGTTGAGTAGCATATATTAAAACGATTTTGTATATAAATTAGGAAGTCACGTGACAATCATAATCGATATAAAGTAGCGGGGAACGACTGTATCAGAACTAGTTTTTCATATTGCTTGGTGTTATGTGAGCACTGTGATTCCGCTGAAAATTGTACTTAATAGCATTAGAAAGGAGACCTGTAATGCATCGTACCTAGCTGTGATAAGTAATGTACGGCGTATTCTAATAATTGATACAATTATATACAAATTGCTTCCATGACATATCAGCTCAACCGTGACATATCTCAAGCATCTAGGAAATGAAACGAGTATTCATGTTATTCCATGCAAAAAGCAAACCTATGTGCGATTGGACTGTTGAAACAGGCATTGTGATACCATCACTCTCGTACATTATATAGATTATGAAGAGACTGCAGGAAGGAGCGGGTTCTTTGGAAATGACAACCTTGCGACAGAGCCTTTCGCCATAAAAACTACGTTGCAAGGCTATTGTTAAGATGTACAGTCGTCAGATAGAGCATGACCAAACGTTGTGATAAGGACTGTAACAATGTGGTTAATCGTTTTAATATAACGCACTCAACCTCTATTTGCTTTTGAGCAGTGGTTCCCAACCTGATTCCCAGCCTGTGGTCCCCAGACCCCTAGGGGTCCTCGAACATAATACCATCTCATAAAACAAGTAAGTTTTTAATTCTGCTATTCTTTTAATTGCACACTCAGTTATATATGTCTTTTATTTGATAGTGAAAAATGGAAAAACATATTAATTATTTGTGAGAAAAACAGTCTGTTGGGTAGGTAGAATCTTTCAAAAAACATGGGGTCCGTGGGGAAAAAGATAATAATAAAAGGGGGTCCTTGGTGGTGAATAGGTTGGGAACCGCTGCTATAGAGGGTCTTATTTTGCTCACAGAAGACACTGTAAATTGTTGAGATGATTAAACACGACTAACTATGTGCATTATATAGCAAAACCACTGTGGAGTAACTGTAACGTAAAATTCTATTTTGTTTTTGTTTTCTAACCTTCAAAAAAAATTTTTTTTAGGTTTTTGAATGTTAATAAATTACGTTAGAGGTATAGTGTAAAGAGCACGTTCTTTAAATACGGGTATATTTTGATAAAACACAACAACATTGTCTTTGTTTTAACTCTTACGAGTGGGTTCTATTTTCACAGACTGCAAGTGTATCGTATTTGATAGTACTTACGGAAAGGAATATGGTGTCTTCAAATCACCTAACTGGCCAGTTCCTTACGAGGATAACATCAATTGTCTCCTCTACACTTTCATCTCCGAGCAGAATTACCTCATTAAACTTGTATTTGATGAATTTGATTTAGGCAAGTCAAACTTAAGGTAAGTTTGTTTTTCTATTTTACTTAATGCTATGTTTACTTTCATTCTATAAGAATGATATTTCAGGTCCCGCAGTGTTCTTCATTGATGAACGTGGAAAGTCTTGTAGCCAAGATTACACACTACTGCCCAGCGTAGTTTCCTTTGTAAGAAACCTTTGCAAAAGGATGAAAGTAAAATACAACATTATATTACATATCTCAACAAACGTTTTACGTAGCTTTCACTATATGCGAACACTGCTTCCAAGACGAAGCACGAAATTCCACTGGAGTTTTATGGGAGGACTGACTCTGTGATTATAGTTTCTTAAATTATCACTCTCGTGATTTCGAGATCTGTCTGATTACATAGGAAATTTTGGCTTGTGAGTCTTCATAAACTTCAAGACCGGGAGCCTCATCACTGTGACATTTGGATTTCGCAGCCCGTTGCTGTTCTGAAAAGTCTTCTGTTATGCGAGCTTTTCCACTTCTCTGGAAAACAATGAATACTACCTTCTTTGAAATGTCATGACCTTTGGATCTCGTGGTTTAACAATATTTATATACGAGTATCCACCCAGTTACCCACTCAATGGCTATAGCATGCCTTAGCTTTATATTTGGCTGCATTGCACTGTCAAATAATCAGGAATTCACTGTGAAACAAATATATAAATGTTTTACACATGCTATCTGTAGCAATGTTGCTCATTTCTGTGGCGACACTCTACTGCTTTAACATATGCAAGTATTTTTAGCCGCGGCTGAGCAACTCATAGAAAAGCTCCGAGTTTTATTTTTCAAAATACAAACTTTTAGCTCATCATCTCTTGACCGATTTCAGATCTAATTACAGCTTTCGACTTAGGAGGTCAAACCCTTTAGATTTATGTATTTGACCACGCCTAAGGTCTCATGGATTCAATTATTCTAATCCTGCTTAAAGGAATTTCAACTGGAGGGTAGTCTAGTAGAGGTCCTAATGAGTAATAAAATCTAATCGGGTATACGCGCGCCCCACGCTTGGTATTGCTGGCGCACAAAATATATATCTAATAAAAAAGGAAACAAAGGTCTCATAGATTAATTTACTCTAATCTGCCTAAAAGAATTTCAAGTGCCACGGCTATTGAGGATTCCCTCTTGTTCGTAGAGTGCGATTAATTTTCTGAGTAGAGCTTATTGTGGAGATCAGAGGAAAACTTGTACAAATTCAAAATTATACCCTGACTTTTCTTACTTGTTGGTTTGGTTTGTTTTGAATTTCGCTATGCCACTGGCAGGCCATTGTTAAAGACCAATTACAACTCCAAATTATTCTAATTCTGAAAATAACATTAATTATCTGAAAAATTGGTAATAAAGCTAAACTAATTGTTGATGCTTGTACTTTACGCCATTCGTTTTTCCAAGCTATTATTTCTTGGATCTAAAACTCCTCAGTGGCTTAGCGGTAAGTCTGAGGGATTAAAACGTCCAAAATCAGCTTTCGATACCCGTAGTGAGCACAGCACAGATACCCCTTTGTGTAGCTTTGTGCTTAGTAAGAAACAAGCATAGATTCAAGGAAAATGATACCGCTGAAACGGTTTTATTATAGATGTTTTTAAGCCTTTTATTTCTAAATAGTTTTTTATATCGTTTTTATTGTAACCTGTGTCTTTTTTTAAATATCTCAGTTTAAGAAAAATTAAATTTTGGTTATAGTTGACAAAGGAACTAATTCTATAAAACTATTTAACAATATTTACATAACTTTGGCTCTTGATAAGAAGGTATAAAGATAGGGCTACTTTATATATTTGCTATTTTAAGTCTAAACAGCACTTCATGCTACACATGGATTAAAGGGTCTGTTAGAAACTCCTATAGTTTAGGCAGAGATATTCTTCATTTAGAACTGTTGATCACAGAGAGGACAACTAGTCAGCTGCACCCTCCGCCTATTGTGCAGCTACTCGAGTCTTAATCGAAAACGGATTTGACTGTCACAGTTATGAAGGGAAAGTAAAGTAAGAAGGTTCTATTTGCTAAAACGGACACCTTTGTGTAACTATTGTTTACATGACGCCGTGTACAAACACATTGGCAGACTGGCGTGAACGTGAATGATCAAAGCGCGATTTCAAGCTTATGTTTTCAAGCAATTTTAATCTAAGAAAAACATTTTGACTATTTTTATGGTTACAAACTAGATATTTCGTAGAATTCTACAACGAGGAATTGTAGACAGCCAGATTAGCCGTAGGAAAAACACAGACCGTATTTGCTGATTTTGTTTTATAATGTGCGATTTCTTTATGATGAGTGGCTCAGGGCAAGACGTTCTCCCAGGGTGGCCGTATTACTCCATACCATGACATTAATTTGCCCCATAGATTTCGACAGCATTGTAAATCTTTGCTCCACGCCAGTACCCACGGTTTTTGCGCCCCTGTGCTAGACAATGCGTAGGACCTACGGCCTTCCAAATCTCTGCTGGGAGCATTTAAAGACAGTTGCTAAATGCATAATATCTTTTGCATTGCAGTTATTAGGCGTTAGATACGTTATAGATAAAACTGCCCTCAACCAAAGGAATTTCAATATTTAAAAAGGGGTCTATGTCCAACACTTGTGCTAATTAGAAATTACACTTATGATAAAACAGGGTTCATTTATTTTATTTTTATTTTTTGCTTTTTCATTACATCCATCTTGATTGGTTAAAACCGCAATCAAAGTTTAAGTGGCCGTCTTACCCCACCTTCCCCAGTGGCATATAACGGTTTGAAACCTTTTCTCTTTAGTCTTCTGAGGAAGAATAGTCACCTTTTGCTCTGGTTTTGGGCATTTTTTTAAAATTCATTGCACCTTTTATATGCGATCCTGTGTGCTAACTCTTCAAAATCGAAACTTCTACCTTCCCTCTCCACAATCCGTTGCACTACTAGTCACGCCTGACGCAGCAAGATAACGATTTTTTTTAACATACTATGAGAATTAGGTTTAACAATAAAAGAATAGGAGGAGAAATGAAAACGTCTATTAAAGAGATGGATAGGAAGAGGATATTTCAGAGAGTGGATTAGAGAGTTGATGTAAAGATGCTGATTATCAATGTGGATTCTGGAGAAGAAGAGAAGAATGTGAAGTTAAAGAAAAAAAACGAGAGTAGATTGGAGATGAGTAGATTTAACATTCCAAAAATTGAAAACTAAAGACGAATAAGTTCTTGAGAAAACAAAGATGTGAAAGTTAAAAAATACATAACTTAAGTTGAGGTGTACGACGATAATGTAAAAAAAAACAGTATTGAAAACACTGTAAAAGAAATTATGTGTAAAGCAAGACAAGAAAAGATTTGATATCCATAAAAGTAGAGAAAGAAAAAGAAAAAAAGAACCAAGTGACTCGCTAGAAGAAAAGCGAATAAACAACTTGCCATGATTGACACTGAAATGCGCGAGAAGTGAAAGAGGTGACAAAGACGAGGAAAGACGGTTAGATTGGGAGTGGAGAAAGTATTATATTAATGTAGGCGTAGAGTGTAACAATGGGAATAGAAGTAGAAGCATAGTGACTGATGATGTGAAATATAAGAAATGATGCGTGTAAGATGAAACAAAATAGAATAAAAGAAGCAGTAGGAAGAGATGAAAGATGCTACATAACACTGTTAACACTTCGAAATAATTTAGGAATATTTAATAATTCAGAGATTTAAATTTTAATATCAAAAATCTAGTGTCTTTTCTTTCGTTATCTCATCATACTATCCATGTTTTTTATTTTCTATTTAAGTATGTGTAAGATAATTTAATGTTTATGTTATATTTCATTCTATGATAGCTTTGCGAAATATAAATGTCTTTGATGCGAGAATAATACTTGCAATACAAAATCATTCGAAACACAAATCAACTTCTGTGAACGTATTTTATATGAATAAATAAACATTATATTTAATTCTTTATTTTACAGAATTAGTAAATTAACATTACATATGTAGTGTGGCTTAAAAACACGTTTTGAAAGACTGGCTCTCTTACAAACACGAAATTGTCTAGTTAGAAATAACACCAAAATAATATCGATCCACAATATACACAGTCTGTTCATGTTCATGAATATTTAGTAGTAAGGCCGGCAGGTACGTTCATTGTCAGGTTAGTGGAACATACAAGTGCATATCAGATGTGTTATATGGAAATGTTTATAAAGTGTGACGTAAACATGGATAACGTTTTATGCGTTGTTTATGGCGTTAGTCTTCTCTGTGTTCATTAATTACTCAGTTTTCAGTTCTTATATATATATATGTTCACACATATAAAATAAGGTAAACATACATTAAACTCTGTGTAACCTGAGATGCTGTTCGTATATGGAATGCTTAACTCACCTCACCAGTGGGTTCTTCGTGGCATGTTCGATTTCCAGTAACGTTAATCAGTTTCCAGGATCGTCGATGGCCCCTTTCTGCAACGCTAACTTTAGATTTGGACCACATCTCGCTATACGCGAGTCTCACAACAAATGATGGAACGAAACAGCCGGGATTCCAATCTGCGCTTCTTTGATGATGTAAAATGATAGAACGTTACCTTCCAGCGTTATTACGTAGTGCCTGTATTAAGAAACCAATTGCTTTTAATTGAATATTGAATAATTGCTTTATGACTTCAATTTCACGAATGTAATCATTATGTTTTTCATAAAACAAAGTGAATGTCCGGGGTAATGAGGTATGGAATAGTAAATAAACCTCTTTATAATACTTAGTGTATACTTAGAAGTATATTATTTAACACATTAGAAGATCAATCTGACGTTTTACCGGGCCCGGCATGGCCAGGTGGTTAGGGCGCTCGACTCGCAATATGAGGGTCGCGGGTTCGAATCTCCATCCCACCAAACATGCTCGCCCTTTCAGCCGTGGGGGCGTTATAATGTGACGGTCAATCTCACTATTCGTTGGTAAAAGAGTAGCCCAAGAGTTGGCGGTGGGTGGTGATGACTAGCTGCCTTCCATCT